CAACAGGCTTGGGCCTACTTGGACAGCACCCTGCCAACCGAGGTAGACAATCCCCTTGACTACTGGGCAACGAAACTTGACCTTTGGCCCCAACTAGCTGAATTTGCCCTTGAAAGGCTGTCATGCCCGGCCAGTAGCGTGGCATCGGAGCGTGTTTAGTGCGGCAGAGGTATTGTAACTCCGCGGAGGACACGACTGTCCACCCAAAGTGTGGAGAGACTCACGTTTGTGAAAATGAATCAGGCGTGGATTAGTCTGGATTTCAAACCACCAGTTCCTGACACAACTGACTAAATCCGCCATGAATCATGCCCCAAACATGTTATTATTTTTAACATAGGCCTCTGTATGGCCTTCAATTTAAGCTGCTTACGCTTCGCCACTCTGCCATGGGCCCCTGTACCGCCTCCTCTTGCTGCTGCCAGGTCCAGAGTGTGTCATGGGTCCCTGTACGGCCTCCCATTGCTGCTGTCTCCATCGCCACACTCTGCCATGTGCCACTTTCAGGTCTCCTCACACTGCTGGTGGGTTCCATTTTGTCATAGGGTGCTGGCAGATTACGGGCCTCCCATTGCTGCTGCCAGGCCCGTAATCTGCCATGGGCCCCCTTACCGACTCCTCATGCTGCTGCTGCCAGGCCCGTAATCTGTCATGGGCCCCTGTACCGCCTCCTCATGCTGCTGCCAGGTCCAGAGTGTGTCATGGGTCCCTGTACGGCCTCCCATTGCTGCTGTCTCCATCGCCACACTCTGCCATGTGCCACTTTCAGGTCTCCTCACACTGCTGGTGGGTTCCATTTTGTCATAGGGTGCTGGCAGATTACGGGCCTCCCATTGCTGCTGCCAGGCCCGTAATCTGCCATGGGCCCCCGTACCGACTCCTCATGCTGCTGCCCAGGCCCGTAATCTGTCATGGGCCCCTGTACCCGCCTCCTCATGCTGCTGCCAGGTCCAGTGTGTCATGGGTCCCTGTACGGCCTCCCATTGCTGCTGCCAGGGCCCGTAATCTGCCATGGGCCCCGTACCGACTCCTCATGCTGCTGCCAGGCCCGTAATCTGTCATGGGCCCCTGTACCGCGCCTCCTCATGCTGCTGCCAGGTCCAGAGTGTGTCATGGGTCCCTGTACGGCCTCCCATTGCTGCTGTCTCCATCGCCACACTCTGCCATGTGCCACTTTCAGGTCTCCTCACACTGCTGGTGGGTTCCATTTTGTCATAGGGTGCTGGCAGATTACGGGCCTCCCATTGCTGCTGCCAGGCCCGTAATCTGCCATGGGCCCCGTACCGACTCCTCATGCTGCTGCCAGGCCCGTAATCTGTCATGGGGCCCCTGTACCGCCTCCTCATGCTGCTGCCAGGTCCAGAGTGTGTCATGGGTCCCTGTACGGCCTCCCCCATTGCTGCTGTCTCCATCGCCACACTCTGCCATGTGCCACTTTCAGGTCTCCTCACACTGCTGGTGGGTTCCATTTTGTCATAGGGTGCTGGCAGATATACGGGCTCTGTCATGGGCCCCTGTACCGCCTCCTCATGCTGCTGCCAGGTCCAGAGTGTGTCATGGGTCCCTTTACGGCCTCCCATTGCTGCTGTCTCCATCGCCACACTCTGACATGTGCCACTTTCAGGTCTCCTCACACTGGTGGGTTCCATTTTTTCATAGGGTGCTGTATGGCCTCCCATTGCTGCTGCCTCCACCGCCACACTGTGGCTCCACACTCTGGTTTTGGCCCCGTGACTGCCCAAATGAGTGAAGTGTGCGGTGATTCTAAGATCGACGGCACTCATCTGCATGTCATACTGACTGACAGTATTATTTCTCTTCCCCAGCAGACTCCAAGGGCATTTAAATTAAAGGTACAGTGTTCTGCACTAATATAAAGGCTCTCTGAAGCCTATAAACACCCTTTTTATAAGTTAAATTCGCAGCGAATATATTCGACTCGAAATCAAATTTATTCCGCGAATTCGCCGAATCATCCGAATCGAATTTTTGAATAATTCGCTCATCTCTAATATTGACAATGAACTATAGATAGATATATGTAGATGTACATATCTGTAGATAGCTAAACACTGTGTATCTAGAGAACTGAGGATGGGAAGAGTTTTTACTTTGTTTTACCTTTTGTTACATCTTAAACCTGCTGATGTGCTGCAGCCTCTTATCAATCTGTCCCTGTCCACATGCACTATAGTGATAGCAGGCATGGGTCTTTTTATCAGTATCACCAGCTAAGCAAAAAAGGCTTTCCAATGGATATTACCAAGTTAAAATGTATATGGGATTTTAGTGGTTGACTTAACATCTACTTTTACAAACCATGCTTGAGTTTTTTTAATTGCAATGCTGGGAACATTTTCACATGTGCAATGACTGTGTGTATATATATTATATACTCAAAAAAACTTTTTTTAGGACCAACATCTGTCTGCAACAACTGATTTATTGTATAGCTCTTCAATTGTCAACACCTTAGCTACTTTTTGTCTATTGATGTTGGTCTTTTCAATTTTAATTTTAGATTATAAATTTTAGCCTGGGGTGTTAATTATTTGTTAATGCCAGTCCTTTCAAGAGCTGCCTTTTTTTCTGCACACTTTGAAAACAAAATGTAAAAACATGGTGCATCAACAACACTGCACACCCTTGTCCTAGCTGCACGGTAACTCCTGCCATACCCCCATATCTTTTAAAAAATGTGAGATATACAGCCTTTAGACCTGGATGAAAAAAAAAATCAGATAATGGGCAGTACATGCTCAAAAGTAGTACTTCCATGGACATAGTCCACTCACTAAATCTTCTTTCAAGGGCTGTTTTGTTAATATTTTAATTAAAGTGGTTGTAAACCTCAGTCATGGAATCTGAATAAAGCACAGATATTTGTAGTGCTTACGTGTCTATCTCCAAAGCTCTAAGTGCCCTTATCTCTCTGGTGCGCCATTCCTCTATTATCAACATGAGTCACGGCTGACAAGTTTTCTCAACACATGAGATAAATTTGTGTTGAGGAGGGAGCTCAGCAGACAGCTTGTCTATTCACAACATAGCGCCTGTGTGCTGTGTGTGTGTGGGGGGGGGATGTCCTTTCCTCTAATCAGCTCTCACAGAGTTCTAACTGCAGCTCCCTGCCCCCACCTCTGTGATACTGGCAAATGCAGAAGGATTGTATCTAAAACTGGAAAATCTACAATTTCTGCGGAAAATTGTGTGAAGTGTTCTTGCAGCCAACCGTAACCAAATGATTGATGAAATGTAAGCAGTGCACATGGCAAGCCTGATAGAGTGAGAACTGCATTTCAACTTGGTGACTCAGCTGCCTGAGTCATCTTTGGTTGCTATAGCAACTCACTGAGTCAGTCACAGGAAGCTGACAGGCTTCTGTAAACACACTGCTCCAACTTGCCAACTTCACTGACGATTGGAATCTTCAAATGGTTGTAGTTTTAAAAGTATAAATGCTACTGTGAAAATGTTTATATTGTTCGAATCACAAGAGCCAGACCTAAATTTTGATGTATAGTATGTCTCGGAAATATTAAAAAATGAAGGCACAGTCGCAGTTTAAAAATGTCCCTTAAAATTTCAGGTGGCTGTAAGTGAAGTTTCAATGAAAGTCAATGGGAGGGGTGAGTTGCAAACAAATGGTCATATTGTGAAAACTATCAGGACTATGGCTTAGCCGTGAACATTTTTTAGTGACAGCAGGGTTAGCTGAACGTTTTGATATAAGATATGTGTAGATGGGCTTGAAAATGACAAAGTGATGGCAGTTTACAAATCATGTTCTGATTTTTCCTTTTACACTAGCTTTTCTGTGCTGCCACTGTAGTTGCTCCATTCATTCCTATGGGAAAATTTCACCACAAAAACCACAATATTTCGTGAACGATTTGGCGAAACGTTCCACAAAGTAATAGCAATCCGATCGGGAACAATCCGCACGTTTTGATATATTACTTGTCTTTGTAGTGTAAAAACTGTGGGTGGAGTTAGCGTGGCAAATTTGGCTATAATAAGAAACGGAATAAGAATATATTTGTGAGATAACAATAAGTGTTCTTGCAAGAACACTTAATCAGCACTTGAAGAGATGTATAAAAGAGAAGACTGCAGACAGAGAAGTAAAACCTATATAGGAGGATTTGTTTAATCTCTGTTTATCACCTGTGGCTATTCACTTCATTGAGTATGTATGTCAGGGTTTACAACGACTTTGATGTAAAAGTTAATTTAACACAACAAAATGTTACCCATGCAGAAGTTATTTTTTCGCATACTTGCTGCTTTGGCCCGCTAAGCTTAGGGCCCTGTCTGTTTCATACTACTTCATTCCCAGAACACTGTGAATGAATGACACAGAAGTGTGACAGCTGGAATGGGGAACTTCTCCCCATACTTCTGTCACTGGGAAGGGAGACAATGGGCCGGGCAGCAGCTGGCGGCTGTAGCATTGGGAACATGTTACATGTTCCACCATGAAAATGGGTGGAACATTACTTTATACTTTAACACCTTCCCGCCCGGCCTATAGCAGATTGACGGCCGGGCTGGACACTCGCCATTGTGACTGGGCGTCATATGACGCCCAGTCAAAACGAGCCGCTCACAAAGCCTCGAGACCACGCAGTGGTGTGATCTGTCACCGGCTGTCTCCACGGGATGACATATCGCTACACTGACCCGTTTTCAGTATATCATGTGACCGCTGTGACCAATAACAGCAGATCACATGTCATTGTATACAATGGATGGCTTCCTGTCATGCCATCCATTGTATACAATTATGTTGTTAGCTGTGACTGGTCAAAGCAGTCACATGATACAGACAGGGCCAATCACAGCCCATCTGTATCATGTGATCAGCTTTGCCCAATCACAGCTAATCACAACAAATGACTGAATGAATCAGTTTCATTCAGTAACAATTACTGCATATATCAATGAAATACATTGGTATTAGCAATCATAATGTGTTAAAAAAAAAATCCTGCTCATTTGCCCAGAGTAGTTCACTGTTACCATGGTAACATTGTATTTCTTTGGTCACAGTGTGCTGAAAAATAAAATTGTAAAAAAAAGAAAAAATGTAATAACAAATAAAAAATTTATAGAAACATTTGAAAAAAAATATACAAATTCAATAATTATTATTATTATTTTCACCAAAGAAATGTAGCAGAATACATTTTGACCTAAATGTATGAAGAAATGTTATTTATATGCAAAATTTTATAACAGAAAAGAAGAAAAGTGCATTTTTTTTTTCAAAAGTTTTAGGTGTCTTTTGTTTTATTTAGCAAAAAAAAAAAAAATCAGTGGTGATTAAATACCACCAAAAGAAAGCTCTATTTGTGTGTGAAAACAATGAAAAAAATGTCATATGGGTACAGTGTTGCATGACTGCGCAATTGTCATTCAAAGTGCGACAGTGCTGCAAGCTGAAAATTGGCCTGGGCAGGAAGGGAGTATAAGAGCCTGGTATTGAAGTGGTTAACATTTTTTTTTTTTTACTATTTAAACAAGCTGCACAAACAGTGAGTGGGACAAAGACCAGGACTTGCCAAGCCCTGAGAAAAAAAAAAGACAGGCTCGTTTTCTCTCTTTACAAGACACGTATCCTGCAACGCATCACCCTATATGGGTGAGAACCCTAGATTACTTCAATACCTTTCATGACCCTGTGATACAGTCTTAACTCTGGTTAGTGATTCCTTGCATGACAAACTGCACTCTAACTGCCTTTTAAACTGTGACATACCACTAGCCTGTAACAGTATATAAAATAACTGTATTAATTTTAGCAGAAACATCTGCAGTGAGTTTTTTGTTAGTTTCTGTGTGATACAGGTCTGCTTTATTTTAGTAAAATTCAGTTTCTAAGTCAACCCCCCACTTCACTTAAGGCAAGACATGGAAATGTATTAATTTTTTTCCTATGGAAGGACAGCCAGTGTCACAGACAACCTTGTCCTGCTGAATATATCGTGGGGTCTGTAATATGTATGTAAATAAAGTGCAGCGCTAAACAATCACAGAAAAATGGCAAGTATTAGATCAAGATAGAAAGTCCTCCTGCAAATTAATGAAAGAGAATAGGTGCTCAGGTGCTCAGGTGTCTTGGTCCTGGTATCCGTGTACGTATATCCAGGAGTAGGTCTGCAAATTAGAGTGCTCCCCAATGTAATGTCCATGGACTGAGTACCACTGATCTTTTTTCAGTTCTGCATTGAGGCTTTACATTGGGGAGCACTCTAATTTGCAGACCTACTCCTGGATATACCGGAGGGACCCGGACCATATCTCTCACCTATTAACACCAGGGGGACCCCCAATTGGAGAGGATCATCAGCCTCATATACAGCTGAGGGAGGACCACCCATTACCGGATGACATCTGGATTATTTATATATATACAAAGGCGCATATTTTATGCGGGTCTGGTGAGTGCGCATTGCTTTATCACATACATACACGGATACCAGGACCAAGACACCTGAGCACCTATTCTCTTTCATTAATTTGCAGGAGGACTTTCTATCTTGATCTAATACTTGCCATTTTTCTGTGATTGTTTAGCGCTGCACTTTATTTACATACATATTACGGACTTTTAGGGGTTATTGGTACCTCACTTGTGCATAGCAGCTTTACAATTTAAAGTACTAAGGCGCTTCCTCCCAATATCTTTATATATCGTGGGGTCTGCCACCTTTTGGCCAGCATCTCTGGCCCATGGTGGACCCTATCCTTCAGGTGTACCAGCTGCTACACAACATGGCAGCATTTAGCCTGGAACAGTATATATGCTCTAGGGCTCCTGGAAGTGACTGCTAACTCTAAGAAGTCAGAAGATGAGTGAAAAGGAGGGAGTACCGGTGACTATGTGGAAGAACTGCCAGCTCCAGCAGTGTGCCCTGCCCTGTATCCTTCCTAGTCTCCAGAACACTGACCCATTTGTACATGCCATAAACTCACAAAAAGGGGTCAAATTTTACAAGCTGGAATGGGAGCAGCTGCAAAGCCAGCACTTTTGCTAAGCTGGTATTAAGTGACTGGGTATGGGGATATTTTTTCTTCTGCTCCAGCAGCTGTTTACGGTCAGGTGCAATGTTTTGGCCAATCACAGCGCATGGTGATGTCACAAGGGAATGGGGGTTACCCCAACCCTTTGTGACATCATCACAATATTTAAGAACTGTCACACAGTGCAGCTGTCAGAAGGTGGAAACCAGCATCGAGAGTGGAGTTTTTTTTTTTGGGGTCAGCTGTGGTGGGGGGCATTGTGATTGACATTGGATCTACTTCAGGGGATTCTTTTTGTTTTTGCTTTTAATAAAGGACTTGCCAAAGACTTGTCTCCTGTCATTTTTACACTACACTTTTTTTTGTGAATGGGTGGTGATACCATGTACCCCATACTGATGCACATGGGGGGGGCAGGACCTGGGGGCCCCCTTATTAAAGGGGGCTTCCAGATTCCAATAAGATCCCCACCTGCAGACCCCCACAACCAGTGGCCATGGTTGTGGGGAGGAGCCCCCTGCCCCAAAGCACCCCCCCCATGTTGAGGGCACTGGACTGGTATGGTTCAGGGGGGGTGGTCGCTTGCCCCCCTTTCCTGACCTGCCGGGCTGCATGCATGGATAATGGTCTGTTATGGATGGAGGACCCCCCCACACCATTTTTGTTTCAAATCCATACCAGACCAGAAGAGCTTGTTATGAATGGGGGGACCCCACACATTTGTTTTAAATAATTTTAATTGCCAGTCAATGCCGGAAATTCTTTTTGCACTCAGCTGTCAACGGGGAACCCCGCTGACAGCTGAAACATTAAAGAATGTCTTCACTACTAAAATACTGCATGACATTAATAATATAACTCATGTGGTATTTTAGCAGCTGTACAGTATCTTACTTCATATTCAGATGCGGTAAGATACCTCTTAGTGAATTGTCCCTGTTCGAAGTTAGCGGTCAAACTTTCAGTAGGTTAGAATGTTCGACCGCGAACCAAACAGGGGGTTGTTCGGCCCCATCACTAGTCACTAGATAGAAAAGGCAGACAGGCCTTGCCTCTAGATGGTACAGCCTAAGCACTGCTTTTTCCCACACGGCCTATGCACAGTGCTAGAGCAGATGAAGACATCTACATTACCTCGCCCAACGCAGAAATACTACTAAGGTAGTGTACAACTTCATATACAATAATTACTTCTTGGATACTATACTTTTGTATGAATCATTATGAAGAATCCTAGATTGTAAGCTCCAAGGAGCAGGGCCCTCCTATCCCTCTTGTATTGAACTGTATTGTTGTTGTATTGTCTCCCTTTATATTGTAAAGTGCTGAGCAAACTGTTGGCGCTATATAAATCCTGTATAAGAATAATAATAATAAAAGATGAATTTCTTTGGAAACACATGTGAACATTTGACCTTTTAAGAAAACAACATTTTTGTAGGTTATAATAAAGCTATGTACACATTCTTGACGTTTGTAAACCTCTTTGTCTTATCTTAGGTTACTGTTGAACTTTTAAAAATTCAATGAACTAGTGTCAAAATAAATTGCAGCTGGGACAGAATTCAGCAGGCTACATTATCAAACCAAATTGGATGACCTTCAACTATTAACAATATAATATGTAAGCTAAAAAATCTACCCAGCAAAAATTCATTTGACAACACCTTCTTTTATACCATTTTTTTGCCGAAACATCAAAACAGTTCTGATGGATCAAGTGACACTGATTTCATTTGTCTAAGCAGATAAATCATCACTATTGAACTTGTCATTGCTCAAAAGAAAGTGTCTATACTTTATTTAATTTGCATTTTTTTACTTTCTTTCTAGAATATTTAATGCTAGGGTATACAAAATTCAAGGTTAGACAGGTTATAAATTATATCAATCTCATTGAGGTAATATTCCTATAAAGAGTTTTAGCCACCTGTTATAATTGCAGCTTCACTAAGGTACAGTAGTTAAAAGATTCTTTTGGTATTTTTTTAAAATGTATTTTATGTAGAACTGTCCTTCATAACAATTTCATTCACATAGATCATCTTCTTTGAAATGCATTATATTTAATACGATTGATGTATCAAAATGTATTTTGTAAAATGAAGCATACTAAAGTTAAGACTGAAGTACCCAATAGTAGCATTATTATTTTTTTTTTTTTTCAAGAAAACAATCACATATTGTACAGTGACTGGACAATATGTAAGCACCTGCTTTAGGCCGCAGTTTAAGTTGGAGAGATGAGACATGTTATAACAATTTGAGTACATTATTTTAGAGACAATAGCCACATATATTGTACAGTGGCTGGACAATATGTAAGCAGGTTATTTAGGCCATAATATAAATGGGAGAGATAAAGCAGATGGGATGCCAGAAATAAAAATTAGAGTGTATTATCTGACTGATAATAGACACACTGCATTGTGGCTGGAGACATAATGCAGAGAGATGGAGATGTAATCACCTTGGTTAGGCCACAATATAAAGAGGAAAGACAAGAAAGTTTTTTATCGTGAAATAAAAATTAGAAAGAACTATTAAAAAGACAATAGTCACACATATTGTACAGTGGATGGAGATTATGTAAACATCTTGGTTAGGCTGAAGTGCAGAGAGAGTGAATAGAGAAAGAGACAAGGCAGGTTCTATACTGATATTAAATAGTCTCTTGTGGGACCCCTTTGCACTAATGTCTGTGGTCTATCTTAAGCAGGCACCATGTATTATGAAAAAAAAATTACAGAAAACATTTATAGAAAACAAAATGCAGTGCTCCAACCAGGAGCGGGACTGACTATTTGGAAACTCGGGTCAGTAGGGGGCCCTATAAGATGCCCCTGGTATCATTTTCATAGGCTTTTTTGTGTTTGGGCAAGGACACAGGGGCCCCATGATCCCCTATTGCCAGGGGGCCCCATGAGTTGTCAGTCCGCCCCTGGCTCCAACCTATTCCCTCTCCTATGTACATACCATGTGCAAACTTTAAATAAATGTATAGGTGTCTCTTAACCACTTGCTGACCAGTCGCAGTACATATACTGCAGATTGGCGGCACCTGCAGGCAAAATCATGTACATGTATGTCATTTTGCCTGCCCTGGTACAGGGGTGAGCTCAAGTGGTTTAAAAAAAAATCTTTCTGCATATAAACAACTATAAATATGAAAATACAAATCATAGAAAAGCTTACCAATATTATTCTATTCTAGTGCATAAACTGACATGTTCATATACTGTATCTCAATGAACAAATGTGCAATAAAATAAAATGTGTCTTCCTTTAAAAGTGAAGATTCCACTGCAATCATTAATGTAAGCAGCAATAATCACAGTCCTTCTCAGGATTAAAAAATACATTTACACTCCCACTTTTTCTTATTTGTCACAGTCTTTGATAAATAAATGAATAAAGTTCAAAAAGCAGCAACCACTCAAAACAAAGTTGCCTTAATGTGAATATGTCCTACTGATATCTACCAACATAATCACAAAACAGCTTTATACCAGTACATGTGTGCTGTGCCATTGAGACTCTACCTCTGTTGGACTGTAGGAATGGGCTTGATGTTCAACTCAAACCTCGGGTGAACACACACGAACATCATGGAAGTTCGGCGGGCTATTCGCCCGCCCACACCCCACCATGCACTGTGCTCTCACAGTGCATTGTGATTGGACAAAGCATTGCACCTGACCACAAGTGGCTTCCTTTTTTTAAATGCTTTTTTAATTTTTTAATTTTTTTGGCTGCAGCAGCAAAAATATTGAGGGCATAATTGCTGTCCTTCCTTCTGAGTCGCAGGTTTTCTTCCTTCTGTGTCGCCATCTTTTTTTTTGGTTTTCTTAACTTTTTTTACATTTATTTTTTTTTTTATTTTGCCTCAGCAGCAGTAAAAAAAAAATCCATATTTTCCGTAAAAAAAAAATAATAATAATGAAACGGTTTATAGTGCACCACGAACAAAAGTATTGCACCCAAGCTCCAAATTCACATCCCACACTCCAAAAAAAAAGTTATAAAAACTCCTCTAAAAAAAATCTCCATCATGCCCGAAAGGCCAACAAGGAGAGGCAGATGCTCACAGGCAGCTAAGAGGGGGCAAGCAGCCTCTGTGTCCACAGTGAAAAGTGGTGGTCATGGACATGTTGTATCCACTTCAGGCAGGACACTCTTGTCCTTTTTTTCCTGTGCTGGCTGTGTTATTGAGCCACAGCATGCAGAAGAGGTGGTGGAGTGGATAACAAAGCCATTAGAGATGAGCGAAGTATTCAAAAATTCGATTCGACTGATTCGGCGAATTCGTGGACAATATTCGATTCGAGTCGAATATATTCGCTGTGAATTTAACTTAAAAAAGGGTGTTTCTAGCTTCAGAGAGACTTAATATTAGTGCAGAACACTGTACCTTTAATTTAAATGCCCTTGGAGTCTGCTGGGGAAGAGAAATAATACTGTCAGTCAGTATGACATGCAGATGAGTGCCGTCGATCTTAGAATCACCGCACACTTCACACTCATTTGGCCAGTCACGGGGCCAAAACCAGTGTTTGGAGCCACAGTGTGGCGGTGGAGGCAGCAGCAATGGGAGGCCATACAGCAACCTATGACAAAATGGAAACCAGCAGGAGTGTGAGGAGACCTCAAAGTGGCACATGGCAGAGTGGGGAGCAATGGGGAGGCGGTACAGTGACCCATGTCACACTGTGGACCCAGCAGCAGCGTGACGAGGCGGTACGGGGGCCCATGGCAGATTTGGGGCCTGGCAGCACCTATGGGAGGCCTGTAATCTGCCAGCAACCTATGACAAAATGGAAACCAGCAGGAGTGTGAGGAGACCTGAAAGTGGCACATGGCAGAGTGGGAGCAATGGGAGGCGGTACAGGGACCCATGTCACACTGTGGACCCAGCAGCAGCGTGACCAGGCGGTACGGGGGCCCATGGCAGATTACAGGCCTGGCAGCAGCAATGGGAGGCCCGTAATCTGCCAGCACCCTATGACAAAAAATGGAACACACCAGCAGTGTGTGAGGAGACCTGAAAGTGGCACATGGCAGAGTGTGGCGATGGAGACAGCAGCAATGGGAGGCCGTACAGGGACCCATGAGAGACTCTGGACCTGGCAGCAGCAATGAGGAGGCGGTATAGGGGGCCCATGGCAGATTAGGGGTCTGGCAGCAGCTATAGGAGGCCCGTAATCTGCCAGCACCCTATGACAAAAAATTGAACACACCAGCAGCGTGTGAGGAGACCTGAAAAAAAAGTGGCACATGGCAGAGTGTGGCGATGGAGACAGCAGCAATGGAGGCCGTACAGGGACCCATGAGAGACTCTGGACCTGGCAGCAGCATGAGGAGGCGGTATAGGGGCCCATGGCAGATTAGGGGCCTGGCAGCAGCTATAGGAGGCCCGTAATCTGCCAGCACCCTATGTCAAAAAATTGAACACACCAGCAGTGTGAGGAGACCTGAAAGTGGCACATGGCAGAGTGTGGCGATGGAGACAGCAGCAATGGGAGGCCGTACAGGGACCCATGACAGACTCTGGACTTGGCAGCAGCATGAGGAGGCGGTATAGGGGCCCATGGCAGATTAGGGGCCTGGCAGCAGCTATGGGAGGCCCCGTAATCTGCAAGCACCCTATGTCAAAAAATTCAACACACCAGCAGTGTGAAGAGACCTGAAAGTGGCACATGGCAGAGTGTGGCGATGGAGACAGCAGCAATGGGAGGCTGTACAGGGACCCATGACAGAGTGTGCTGGACTTGGCAGCAGCATGAGGAGGCGGTATAGGGGCCATGGCAGATTAGGGGCCTGGCAGCAGCTATGGGAGGCCGAAATTTCTGCCAGCACTCTATGTCAAAAAAACAGCATGAGGAGGCGTTATAGGGGCCCATGGCAGATTAGGGGCCTGGCAGCAGCTATGGGAGGCCCTAATCTGCCAGCACCCCCATTCCAAAAATTGAACACACCAGCTGTGAGGGAAAACCTGAAAATGGCACATGGCAGAGGTGGCGAGGAGACAGCAGCAAT